GAGGGATTGGCAGAGAGGGGTGGAGGACACTGAGTGGAGGCCAGTGGAGGGATTGGCAGAGAGAGATGGCAGATACAGATCGGTTAGTAAGGTGGATGAGTCTGGCAGCAGCATTCATGATAGACTGAAGAGGGGATAGCCTGCGATGAGGTCGGCCAATGAGGAGGGAGTTACAATTGTCAAGGCGAGATATAACCCGGGAGGGAATAAGTTGCTTAGTAGTTTCAGAGGTTAAGAATGGGCGTATACTAGGTGGTCTTTGTAAGAATATGAATCAGGAGAATCACTTATTCTTCACTTTTGGATTCTCCTGCAATGTCTCCATGTACATTTCTCTGATATTAAATAATTCCCCAACCTAATAATCCCGAAAATCATCAATCATTCATTTTCTTTTCAGACTTGACAGATCTGTATGTATATGTAGCGCCCTCTGGTGTACATAGTTGTTGAGAGTAGTTGCTAGAAGCCTGGGTTTAGACAGAGGGTTATTTCAGTCCAGGCTGGAGGGCTCTACAGGTCAGTCATATCGTCCCCCTCCCCCCCTCACCCGCTCTAGAAGCTTGGAGAAGCTTCTAGAAGTCAATAGGAGGAGGTGAGGAGGGGTTGATCTGCATATTTATGGCAGTCTGACCAATCCCAGACAGGAGGCCTGGAAGTGTGGCAGACCAGCCCTTAAGTTTTGACAGTGCCTGACCAGCAGAGGAGTCGGGTGGAAGATTGGATGGACTGCTAATGTGCTGCTGTATAGCCTGGGAGGGGGCCTAGGAGAATGGGGAGGTCTGTCTCCAGGTTGGAGGTTGGAATAAGGAGGAAGGCTGAAGGAGGGAGCTTCAATGCCCTGCAGTCCACCTGGAGAAGGACAGCCTGCAATGCTTGGAAAGAAACCAGCCCAGAAGAAGGCCTAAAAGCAGTTCTATCCACAGCTGCAGGACAAGGACAGTTGTGTGAGGACCTCCACACCCCCAGGGCCTAGAAGGAAGAAGTCTGCTGTATGCAAGTTCTTGGTAAGTTTTCAGGGGACAGTTCATAGCTTACCCAATCCTTCATTCTGGAATCAGACACTGTAGCCAGGTGGGCTGGTATTTTGTTCACTTAGGGGACTTAGAGCTCCTACAAGTTGGGTTTTTGCTAAAATTCATTCAAGGAGACTCAGAGCTCCTGCAAGTTGGACCACAGTCATTCCTTTGCCATTCTTGTGGTATGTTCTAGTAAAGGAAATTGTCCTCACTTGTTACTCTGCAGTCAAGTCAGGCATCCCATAACCTCTGTACCCTATCTAAGTTAAATTCCATAATAAAACCAAAAAACCAAGCCATGGACTGTTTTTGTGTCTGGATACAAGTAGAAAATGCGTGTTGCCTGGCTGTGCAGGAAATAAAGAAGGACCCAAAAGCAGCGGCTCTCAAGAGTATGGCACTACATTCAGGAGAACCAATCATTGCAGTTTTCCTGTCTGTTACACTCAGGCTATGACTCTAGGAGAGGTCAGCAGAGGGCAGAGAAAGCTTCATATGGAGAGTTCATAGGAGAAGAGGGAGAGGGAGGTCTGTGAGTGAAGGTCTCAGCCCTTGTTGATGGATTTTACTGGAGCCACACCCCTTATTAACAAGACACTGAAAACATAGGGGCCCTAACTAAGAAAAACTAATGGGGCTTTAAGAGGCACCACACCAAAAAGAAGATCAATACTCAAAATATAAACAGTTAAAGCTTTATTGAACAATATTAAAACCACGGTTGTGGTAGAGGCTTTGAGCATTCACCTTACCAACCGTTCAGTGTCTGCTACCCCTCTCTGCCAATCCCTCCACTGTCCTCCACTCAGTGTCCTCCACCCTTCTCTGCCAATCCCTCCACTGGCCTCCACTCAGTGTCCTCCACCCCTCTCTGATAATTTCTCCACTGTCTTCCACTCAGTGTCCTCCACTCCTCTCTGCCAATCCCTCCACTGTCCTCTACTCAGTGTCCTCCACCCCTCTCTGCCAATCCCTCCACTGACCTCCACTCAGTGTCTTCCATCTCTCTCTGCCAATCCCTCCACTGGCTTCCACTCAGTGTCCTCCATCCCTCTCTGCCAATCCCTCCACTGGCCTCCACTCAGTGTCCTCCACCCCTCTCTGCCAATCCCTCCACTGACCTCCACTCAGTGTCCTCCACCCCTCTCTGCCAATCCCTCCACTGACCTCCACTCAGTGTCCTCCATCCCTCTCTGCCAATCCCTCCACTGGCCTCCACTCAGCCAATGAATAAAATTCAATATACTCACAACTTACAAAGCCATCCACAACTCTGCCCCCAGCTTCATCACCAACCTGGTCTCAAAATATCAACCGAACCGCTCTCTTCCATCCTCCCAAGACCTTCTGCTCTCTAGTTCCCGTGTCACCTCCTCCCATGCTCGCCTCCAGAACTTCTCCCGAGCGTCTCCCATCCTATGGAACTCCCTACCACAATCTGTCCAGCTGTCTCCTAATCTATCCACCTTTAGACGATCCCTGAAAACCTTTCTCTTTAACCACTTCCAGTTCGGACACTTTCACCCCCTTCCAGTCTGGACACTTTCACCCCCTTTCAGTCCAGACACTTTTCCCCCCCTTCCAGTCCGGACACTTTTCCCCCCTTCCAGTCCGGCCACTTTTCCCCCCTTCCAGTCCGGACTCTTTCACCCCCTTCCAGTCTGGACACTTTCACCCCTTCCAGTCCAGACTCTTTCACCCCCTTCCAGTCCGGACACTTTCACCCCCCTTCCAGTCTGGACACTTTCCCCCCTTCCAGTCCAGACTCTTTCACCCCCTTCCAGTCCGGACACTTTCACCCCTTCCAGTCCGGACACTTTCCCCCCCTTTTAGTCCGGACACTTTCACCCTCTTCCAGTCCGGACACTTTCACCCCCTTCCAGTCCGGACACTTTCCCCCCTTCAAGTCCGGACACTTTCCCCCCTTCCAGTCCGGACACTTTCCCCCCTTCCGGTCCGTACACTTTCCCCCCTTCCGGTCCGGACACTTTCCCCCCTTCCGGTCCGGACACTTTCCCCCCTTCCAGTCCGGACACTTTCCCCCCTTCCAGTCCGGACACTTTCACCCCCTTCCAGTCCGGACACTTTCACCCCCTTCCAGTCCGGACACTTTCACCCCCTTCCAGTCCGGACACTTTCACCCCCTTCCAGTCCGGACACTTTCACTCCCCTTCCAGTCCGGACACTTTCACCCCCTTCCAGTCCGGACACTTTCACCCCTTCCAGTCCGGACACTTTCACCCCCTTCCAGTCCGGACACTTTCACCCCCTTCCTGTCCAGGCCAATTTTCAGCTTTCAGCGCTATCACACTTTGAATGACAATTGCGCGGTCATGCAACACTGTACCCATATGCATTTTTTAGCATTTTTTTTTAGACATATAAAACTTTATGTTGGTGGTATTTATTCACTGCTGGGATATTTATTTTTTTGCTATATAAATAAAAATTTCCAAACATTTAAAAAAAAGTGTTTTTCTCATAAAGATTTTCAAAATTTTCAAATAAATAATCTTTCTTCAATAAAAATAAATCTTGGCCAAAATGTATTCAGCTATCTTTTTAGTACAAAAAAAAAATACAATATTAGTTTATAGCGAAAACCTATAATTTTTCAAAAAAAATTTTTACATTTTTATTTTAGTTTTTATATTATTATTTAAGTTTTTTTTTTACATACTGTCATCCTAGCAGTACAATGTCACCATAGTGACAACTACTTGTGGGGGGTGATGAAGATTTTGTTTTTTTACACTGATTGCTTTTACACCCATAAAGGCTGTAAAAACAATCATTTCTCCTTCTCTCTGGCTGCATTCCTGCAGCCATTGAGAACTACTGAGTGAGCTGTGATTGGTCACAGCTTGTCACATGGTACAAGACTGTTGTGAATGGCCCTGTACCATGTGACCTCTGTGATCATTCACAGATTTCACACATAGTAAGCAATGATGTCACAAGTGACATCTTTTTACTGCTGTTCATGTGATCACTGATTGGCCAATCACTGATCACATGATCAGGACCTCACATGGATCGTGGTGCCGCACGCTCCCAGGGAGCACGCACAGGTAGTCAATACGGAGACTGTTTATAAACGGTCACCTGCCCCTGCACTGCTCCCCTCCGGCCGTATACATGGGCCTGACAGGAAGTGGTTAAAGCAGAAATATTGATTTATGGACACACATTTTTGCACTTTTTTACTTATTTATATAAGTTAATGGACTTTATGTTGGACACTTTATTTTTTTCACTGATTGAAAAATATTTTTTATTGAATTTTTATTGATTTATGCAACACATTCATTTTTTTTATTATTTGACATATATTTTCTGTGTTCCCTGGTTTAGAGATATATTACTTTGAAGATTTTTGTATGAAGAGTGATATCAGATTCCATTATCCACCATCAAAGACTTCACTGTATATGTGTTACTTCCCAGGAAATTCAGGCCGTCTTGGATACCACACGCGGTCCAACACCGTATTAGGTGACAATTTTGTTCTTTTACTGTATTGTTTCCAAAATTGTGTCCAACCCATATATATATATATATTTTCCCCAAAAAATGGTGGAAATGTCTGTGAGTCTTCTGGAGCTAATATAGAGCATCTGGCCCGATATTCCCCCCATGGAAGGCGTGTTAGAATACCAGGCCGACCGCTCGGCTCTTCTGTGCAGCAGATCCTGCTCCTCGGTCCAGCTGTGTCCTCCTCACCTCATCATCTTCAGTGTGGGCACCCGGCTGTTACAGCTTGCGGCTTCACTGCTGGGAGCCCACTGCGCATGCGTGAGAAATGCTGCACTTTGTGAATGGTCTGGCAGTCTTCTGAGACCTGTCACGAGAGGTCATCGCAGCAGAAGTGGGAGTGGGAACCTGTCAAATTCGGGTACCCGCCCCAAAGGTCCGCAGTTTCTGGTCATCTCCTGTACCATGTCCGCAGTCTCCTGTCATCTCCTGTACCGTGTCCGCAGTCTCCTGTCATCTCCTGTACCGTGTCCGCAGTCTCCGGTCATCTCCTGTACCGTGTCCGCAGTCTCCGGTCATCTCCTGTACCGTGTCCGCAGTCTCCGGTCATCTCCTGTACCGTGTCCGCAGTCTCCGGTCATCTCCTGTACCGTGTCCGCAGTCTCCGGTCATCTCCTGTACCGCGTCCGCAGTCTCCGACCATCCCCTGTACTATGTCCGCAGTCTCTGGTCATCTCCTGTACTGTGTCCGCAGTCTCTGGTCATCTCCTGTACTGTGTCCACAGTCTCTGACCATCCCCTGTACTATGTCCGCAGTCTCTGGTCATCTCCTGTACTGTGTCCGCAGTCTCTGGTCATCTCCTGTACTGTGTCCGCAGTCTCTGGTCATCTCCTGTACTGTGTCCACAGTCTCTGACCATCCCCTGTACTGTGTCCGCAGTCTCTGGTCATCTCCTGTACTGTGTCCGCAGTCTCTGGTCATCTCCTGTACTGTGTCCGCAGTCTCTGACCATCCCCTGTACTGTGTCCGCAGTCTCTGGTCATCTCCTGTACTGTGTCCGCAGTCTCTGGTCATCTCCTGTACTGTGTCCGCAGTCTCTGGTCATCTCCTGTACTGTGTCCGCAGTCTCTGGTCATCTCCTGTACTGTGTCCGCAGTCTCTGGTCATCTCCTGTACTGTGTCCGCAGTCTCTGGTCATCTCCTGTACTGTGTCCGCAGTCTCTGGTCATCTCCTGTACTGTGTCCGCAGTCTCTGGTCATCTCCTGTACTGTGTCCGCAGTCTCTGGTCATCTCCTGTACTGTGTCCGCAGTCTCTGGTCATCTCCTGTACTGTGTCCGCAGTCTCTGGTCATCTCCTGTACTGTGTCCGCAGTCTCTGGTCATCTCCTGTACTGTGTCCGCAGTCTCTGGTCATCTCCTGTACTGTGTCCGCAGTCTCTGGTCATCTCCTGTACTGTGTCCGCAGTCTCTGCTCATCTCCTGTACTGTGTCCGCAGTCTCTGGTCATCTCCTGTACTGTGTCCGCAGTCTCTGGTCATCTCCTGTACTGTGTCTGCAGTCTCTGGTCATCTCCTGTACTGTGTCCGCAGTCTCTGGTCATCTCCTGTACCGTGTCCGCAGTCTCTGGTCATCTCCTGTACCGTGTCCGCAGTCTCTGGTCATCTCCTGTACCATGTCTGCAGTCTCTGGTCACCTCCTGTACTGTGTCCGCAGTCTCTGGTCATCTCCTGTACTATGTCCGCAGTCTCTGGTCATCTCCCGTACTGTGTCTGCAGTCTCTGGTCATCTCCTGTACTGTGTCCGCAGTCTCTGGTCATCTCCTGTACTATGTCTGCAGTTTCTGACCATCTCCTGTAGTATGTCTGCAGGCCATTGGTTCAGAACATTTTTTTTCTTGTCTCCCTCCTCTAAAACCTAGGTGCATCTTATGGAATGAAAAATACGGTGTGTGTGTATATATATATATATAGAATGTATATCAATTATATATGAATCTGGACTATATGAATGTGTCTCTTAACATGGCATATACAATTAGTAAAATAAACCCCCCCCCCCTTTTAAAAGCCAACCATTTATTTAATTAGATTTAAGAACTGTATAGAAGAAACAAACATTGTATTGCCGGTAATTTTGCGGACAGTGAGAGGGAGGTCGGAGGTCGCGGTCCATCTCACTTTGGTCACACAATTACTATGTAATCTATGATAGGATCGTAGTAACAGCAGAGGTGTACTTAGGTATTGTACTGCCCTAGGTAACACAAAAATTGGACACCCCCCCATCCCGGCGCAGAGAACCTGCCACCAACCAACACCAGACCCCCCCCTCCCCGCAGAGAGAGCCTGACACCAACCAACACCAGACCCCCCTCCCCACCGCAGAGAGAGCCTGACAGTGACTAAACCACACCCCTGCCCCATCCCCAGAAAAAGACACTCACCTTCACAGCTCTGGACATCCCCCCATGGAGAGAGCCTGATGGTGACCAACAACACCCCTGCCCCACCCGAGAGAGCCTTCCACTAACACCCCACCCCCAACAGAAAAAAAGACACTCACCTTCACAGCTCTGGCCATCCCCAGGAATGACAGTGGGACTCTGCATACACCATCAAGCAGCCCACAGCCTCTCTCGGATCCCCCTTGATCCCCATGTCCCTCCTCTGAGGGCCAGTGCTGCCCCCCTAAAAAATGCCGCCCTAGGCAAATGCCTTGTTTACCTTGTGGTAAATACGCCCCCCGAGTAACATAAGCACTTATTATCCAACTCACTCTGTGCCGGAATCCAGTTTGTTCAGATTGTATTTTCTTGGTGTACATTCCGTGTAGAGCGTGGGCCAGAACATACACAGCCCTGTATGCATAGGAAGGTATAGATGTATAATTAAAAAATACTTCAGAAATATCATTTCCATCTGTACAATGTCTGAGAGGGCGAGGAGAATATAAGTGAAAATGGTTATTTTTGTCCGGATTTGGGGAACGGCACACAAGCGAATTAATCCAAATATCTTCCAGTATTGGGTCAGTTAAGCAGCTGGAGAAGCTGACACCAACACCACGATGATTGAAGTTCACACTTTTCATTTGTGGCCACTGAAATATGAAGCTGCAGCTGATTGGTGGAAAAGTATTGGCGGTATGAAAGTCTTTACTCCACGACGGCGGGAAAATAAATATGGTATTTTCAATAGCAGAGGGTATAAAAGCAGCACATTCAGAAAAGTAAATTGTTAAAGTTCCACACATTACCACGACTTTAGCTGATAATTCCTTCATCATCTTTAATTTCCGAAAATTATGTTCAAAATTTGGAATGATTTGAAAGATATAATATATGCAGATCCCGTGTTGGCTCATCATCCTGCTCAGTTCTTGGGCCTCATCATCACCGTTCCCATCCCATGATGTTACTATTCCAACCCAGTTCCACCTAAAATGCTTCAAGAAATGTACAACAGCCGTATAATAGGCCCGATTGTCCGGTGTCATACGGAATATAGTTGGATACAATCTTCCATCACTCAGGTGAGGGTGAGAGATTCGATAACTAAGCTGGATGATACGTTGGGAGATATTTTCATGGGATGGTATTATTATTATTCAAACAAAGAAAATATATATGAATGCAAAAAAGAACCAAAGTGCCCAGGACCACCTCCCTACCACACTCTTTAAGTGAAATGCCGCTGTGCACAGGAATAGAGACCACAAAATTATCAACTTAAAAAACAGCGCAAAAACACAAACTACCTCACACCAATCAATATATGTGAACAATAATAAATAACTTATTCATTAAATAATATTAATAAAGAATATTGCAATTTAAGTGTCACAAAATATATATATATATTAAAACAAGAAGTTCAGTGACACATACAAAAAGAAGTCCAGTGCCCCCCACAAAAAACTTATTTTCATTAAAAATCTTCAGTGCCAATAGTGATCCTTCCACCATCCACCAGTGCAAAACCAACATGAAGCGAACTCACCAGATATTTGGTGAGTATAACGCCTTTCAGGATTAATTAGGGCTCCTGGACCCCCTTTGTAACCTCCAACTATTGCCACCTCAAAGATATGGATATTCCTCCAATTGCTCCCCTCGCCAACTCCACCGGATTCCAGGAAGAAAAAAAACTAATAGTGTGATACTGTTATGACTCTCAATTATAATCAACTTTAAGCCAGACCACTCACATTTTAAAAGGTAATAACCAGCATTTATTGAAGATAAAAACAAATTCCACAATTCCTGTATCAAGACCTCACAGCCTTGTACACAGCAGGATGACAGACCTCAAAGAAGACCTCCTCCACTGAGCAAAATGGCCACTTGGAACGCACTCGGCGAATATGATGCAGGACGTTGGGACGGCCAGCCGGAAGTACGTCAACGCGTTTCGCCCCACACACAGGGCGTTCTCAAGACGCCCTCTTCCATTACCAGGCTGCTTTTATAGCAGTGGGAGATCCCTCCCCCTCAACACCTTGAAGATAAACCGCAATCTACTACATATAGCACTGTCATCCCTTTGTATACAACCCGTGAGGTCCCTTCACAATGGTACACAAACCAAACAATCGGCATTTCAACAAATCCCAACAAAAACTTATTAAAGGATTCTTATTCAATAACCTTTATATTTATTCATTAATTATAACTTTCTATATACCAAAAAAATAAAAATTATATAAAAAAACATATAAATATAAAAAAATGTATATAAATATATAAAAATAAAATTAAAATAAAAATAAATACTAATAAAAAAATAAATAAATAAAAAATAAATAAAAATAAAAAAAATTTCAACAAATTACATTTCTTTTCCTCCAGACGTAAAGAGCGCCCCTTGTCCTCTGTGATGACCTCAGGGGAATAGGCTGCTGTAAAACAGTAAGTCCTCCTTGATATCTACTGTCCTTAACCCTTCCTGCCCAGGCCAAGTTTCAGCTTTCAGCGCTGTCACACTTTGAATGACAATTGCGCGGTCATGCAACACTGCACCCAAACTAAAATTTTATCATTTTCTTCACACAACTAGAGCTTTATTTTGGTGGTATTTAATCACCACTGGGGTTTTTTATTTTTTGCTAAATTAACAAAAAATTAAGATTTTGAAAAATCTTTCTGTTATAAAAGTTTGCAAATAAATAATTGTTCTTCATAAATTTAGGTCGAGATGTACAGTGAAGGAAATGCATATTTGCTCCCCTGCTGACTTTGAATGTTTGCCCCTCACAAAGAAATGATCGGTCTAAAAATCGAATGTTCGGTGTATTGTAACACTGAGAGACAGAATAGTGTAGCACACCCTTGGGTGATGCTGGGCTAGATGTATAGGTTCAGCTCCCACCTGAATCTGGTGACACCTTCGATTATACCCAGAACACTTCCACACTCTGAGAATATTTTTTATGGGTTTTATTGAAGAAGACAAACCCTGAAAAAGAACTCGCTGATTTAACACAGGTAATGTACATAAAACACAGATACCACTTTGCATAACAGAGTTAGTAAGAAGTCACAATGCACTCGCCAAAGACTCCAAAAACTGACTAGTATCACACTGACTAGAGTGACATATGAGAGTGACATTGACACATGAACAATGACTGTTAATGAGGTTTAGCAGCTTACTGACATTTGCTATAGCAGTACTATCTAGAGCAGAAATGTCCTACCTAACCACTGGCCAGTGGGATGAAACTTAAAGTCTCTCAACGTTGGGGCCCTTTAATCAATGGAAGAGCGCTCACTCTCTGCATGGGAGAGTATTTGTAATCCAGGGGTAGCAGGATAGCACAGTCTCCTTTAAGCAGAATCTTCCAGTGAACGTTGCAATAGGAAACAACAACACTTTAACAAATCTTTACCATACAGCTAAAATCCTGATGTACTGACACTTGCTCAGTATATTCAGAGCAGCAAGCTTCTGTGGGGATTTGGAACTAAACACATTCTTCAGCCACAGCATAAGTTTTGAGGAGACAGTCACCAGTAATATACAGAGACAGAGTTCTCTCATCAATCAGCAGCAGGAATAGCTAATTCTGAGCAGCTTGGGCTTT